GTAATATAAATATAAAATTTGTTTGCATAGTAAAAATTACTAAAATATGCTTCTCAAACAGAAATGGAGGGAGGGGAGGGGAGGGGAGGGGGGACATTCTACGTTGTTTTTAACCTTTATTTTTGTTTTCATAAAGACTAGCCTTTGTCCGTGCAATGTACTGATTGGATTATTTTAAACGTAATGCTAGTATGTTAAATATGTTGAGTTATAGTGTGTCGCCTTCATCATTTGCATTGGTAGATAATAAAATAATCATTTATCATACTCTATTAACATAAATAGATTGCATTATATTAGAATTGATAGTATATAATTGTCTAGCTATTTAGAAATCATATGTATAAATATCAAACCACGATCACTGAATTTTTCATTTTCACACACTTCTGCACTTTTACTTGATTAAAGGCAGTACTATATTATATAATAAAAGAAATTACAGACAAAAATAGAAATAATTTATTATAAAGTTATTAAATTATAAATGAAAATGATTTAAAAATATATTTAATTCAAATTTAATGAATGTCGTTCTATCATAAAGAATGTATAACGATTATTTTATTAAACTAAATGAAACAAATAAAATAAAGGAAAGTTACAAAAATAAAATAAATAATATATAAATATTATTTTCTTAACAAATAAAATAAAGGAAAGTAACAAAAATTAAATATATTATTTTTCTTGATTAAAATTTAAAAAATTAAAATTTTTACGATAAAAGAATTAAAAAGAATTTTATATTGAAACATATACCAACAAAATTATCCCTCCATAAAAAATAAAAATAAAATAAAAAAACTCTCCGTGGACGGAGAGAATCTCTCCTTTCAAAAGGAGATTAAAAGGAATTGACTTTTCATCAAAACAAGAGAACTCTCCTTTTGCACGAAGCAATAACACTTCGTGCATTGAATGAAACCACTCCGTGTGCGGAGTGGTGAATTTTTTTCCTCTTATTTGTAGTAATTTTTTTATTAATAAATAATTACAAAAAAAATTATTCTATCTAGAATGTAAAAAGTTACTTATAAGTAAAAAAAGCACTTTGAGTTATTTAAAAGTAATAAAAACTTATAATTATAAAAGTTACTTATAGGTAAAAAAAATATTAATTATTCATTCTCTTATAATTACAAAAGCTACTTATAAGTAAAAAAAATATGAACTTCAAATTTTTTAAATATAAATATTTAGATGTATTTAGTTTTTTAGATTAAATATTAATAAAAAGATTACGCTATCTAAAATGTAAAAAGTTACTTATAAGTAAAAAAATCACTTTAAATTATTTAAAATTAATAAAAAAATCTATAATTTTAAAAGCTGCTTATAGATAAAAAAAATATTAATTTCAACATTTTTAAGTAAATTTAGATATATTTAATATTAAATATTACTAAAAAATTATTATAAAAAAAAAAGAATCTTCTTCATGCACGGAGTAATAATCACTCCGTGCACGGAGTTAAAAAAATAAAAAATTATTTAATGTAATTTTTTATTAATATTTAATTTTAAAAATATTAAATATATCTAAATATTTACTTAAAAATGTTGAGGTTAATATTTTTTTTTATCTATAAGTACCTTTTACAATTATTTATTACTTTTAAATAATTTGAAGTTATTCTTTTACTTATAAGTAACTTTTTACATTCTAGATGATATATTCTTTTTATTAATATTTAAAATTTAAAAAACTAAATATATGTAAATATTTATACTTAAAAAACTAAATATATATATAAATATTTATACTTAAAAAAATTTAAGTTAATATTTTTTACTTATAAGTAGTTTTTACAATAATAAGTTTGTTTTACTTTTAAATAACTTGAAGTGAATTGTTTAGTTATAAATAACTTTTTACATTTTAGAAATAAAGAATAACTATTATGTAAAAAATTACTTAAAAAATATTATTACTAATAAAATTATAGGATATGATCGATAGTTGATAGCGTGATAAAAAGAAGAAAGAGTACTGTGTGCCAGATTCAAATCATGTAAGTTGCAGGTAAAATATAAAACAACGTTATTTTTGTTCCACCAATTAAAAAAAAAGCTACAATATGACAAAATATTATTAAAAAAAAATATTATTACTAATAAAATTATAGAATATGTTTGATAGTTGATAACGTGAGAAAATTGAGAAAATGAATTGTGTGTTAGATTTAAAGGACCAAACCAGTTTTAAACCTGTTCAATGTAAAAACCAATGTGACAAAAATGAACCGTTCAGCTTTGAATTTGACACACAATACTGTTTCTCCATTTTCTCACGCTATCAACTATCAACCATATCCTATAATTTTATTAGAAGAAATATTTTTTTAAATAATATTTTGTCACACTGTAGCTTTTTTTTTTAATTGGTGGAGCAGAAACGACGTCATTTTCTATTTTACCTGCAGCTTACATGCTTTGAATCTGACACACAACACTCTTTCTCCATTTTCTCACGCCATCAACTATCGACCACATCTTATAATTTTATTAGTAATAACATTTTTTTAAATAAATTTTTACATAAAAGTTATTTTTTATTTCTAAAATGTAAAAAATTACTTATATCTAAAAAGATCACTTCAAGTTATTTAAAAGTAAAACAAACTTAAAATTGTAAAATCTACTTATAAGTGAAAAAATATTAAATTAATTTTTTTAAGTATAAATATTTAGATTTATTTAGTTTTTTAAATTAAATATTAATAAAAATATTACACTATCTAGAATGTAAATGATACTTCTAAGTAAAAAAAAAACACTTCAAGCTATTTAAAAGTAATAAAAAACTTATAATAGTAAATGCTAATTATAGGTAAAAAAATATTAATCCCTCATTCTCTTATAATTGCAAAAGCTTCTTATAGGTAAAAAAATATTAACTTAAAATTTTTTGAATATAAATATTTGGATGTATTTAATTTTTTAAATTAAATGTAAATAAAAAGATTACACTATCTAGAATTTATAACTTTACTTATAAATAAAAAAATCACTTCAAGTTATTTAAAAGTAATACAAAAACTTATAATTGTAAAAGCTACTTATTGATAAAAAAAAAATATTAACTTCAACATTTTTAAGTAAATATTTAGATATATTTACATTTTTAAAATTAAATATTAATAAAAAATTACTATAATTTAAAAAAAAAAACATATGTATTTCACTCCATGCATTTGCTTAAATGTCTCCAAGCAAATGCATGAAGTGATGACCACTCCATGCATGGAGTTAGCTGGCTTTTTATTTTTATTTTTTTTAAATTATAATAATTTTTATTAATATTTAATTTAAAAAATTAAATATATCTAAATATTTACTTAAAAATGTAAAATTTAACATTTTTTTTATATCTATAATTAGCTTTTACAATTATAAGTTTTTGTTATTACATTTAAATAACTTGAAGTGTTTTTTTTTTTTTAACTTATAAGAAACATTTTACATTCTAGATAGTGCAATCTTTTTATTAATATTTTATTTAAAAACTAAATATATCTAAATATTTATATTTAAAAAATTTGAAGTTAATATTTTTTTACTTATAAGTAACTTTTGAAATTATAAGTTTATTTTACTTTTAAATAACTTGAAGTGATCTTTTTAATTATAAGTAACTTTTTACATTTTAGAAATAAAGAAATAACTTTTATGTAAAAATATATTATCATTAATAAAATGAACAGTAAATTTCACATTCTTTCTTTTAGGATATGGAGGGATTTTTTTAAAATTAAATATTTATTAATAAAAAATTACTATAAATAAATTTTTTTAAAAAAATTATCACCACTCTGTGCACGGAGTGTAATCACTCCATGCACGGAGTGTTATGACTCTGTGCAAAAGGAAAGTTCTTTCCTTTTGAAAGTAGAGATTCTCTTCGTCAACGGAGAGATTTTTGTTTTTTTTTAAATTTAATTTTTTCAATTTTAATTAACTAAATAATATTTATGTATTATTTATTTAATTTTTGTAACTTTATTTAATTTTATTTGTTTAATTTGGTTTCATAAAATAATCTTTATACATTCCTTATGATATAAAGACATTCGTTAAATTTGAATTAAATAATATTTATTTTTTCTTTAAATAATTTTAATTTTATTTAGAAACTTTATAATAAATTTTTTTATCTACAATTTTTTTAAAATATCTTTATATTTAATTTCATTTCATTATTATATAATATATGGTATTGCTTTTAATCAAGTGAAGTAATGTGTGAAAATGGAGAAATATTGTAGTGGAGGTGACATCACAGTGAAACGACGTGTGAAAATGGTAAAATAGCGTGTGAAAATAATGCTACAGCGTCATTTAATAGAATAATTTATTGTTACCAAACCTATTTCAAACCAGTCTCGTGTGAAAATCTATGTGAAAAAAATGAACAGTAAACCTCACATTTTCTCTTTTAAGATAAGAAGGGATTAAGTTGTAGGAAAACTTGGAGGTCTCCATGGCCTACGGCCAACGCCCTGTCCACCCTATTTTTTGATTTCTTGACGAACTAGAAAATTTCCTTCCAATTCAATGTGAGAAGATACATTTTGCTATTCCTACTATTCAATTATGTTGCACAACTATCCTTATTCTAAATAGAAACTTAGGATGACAGTGGACTGGGGCAACTATTTTTGCTCTTATTTTCTTATTAGTTGATAAATTCCACTAGGTTTGATGTAGGACGTGATAGAAACTAATAGGATATTTTGCCATCCTTATAACAATCATTTTACACTCCAAGCTCAAATTTAAGTGGAATACACGTTAACGTATAATTGAACAGTTTCAAAAATTAAAACAAAAATATTCAATAATTTTTAGACGCTGATGTCTTTCGCTTCATTCCGCGGCTTTATTTTCTTTAAATGTAACTATCCCTTAAAATGCGTTTCAATCCCCGGAGTTGCTTCTGTCTACTGGCGCGAAAATCTCCCACGCCAAACCAGCCCCCCTTCTCTTTCTCACACAGAAACGCGCTCTCATCCCAAAAAAGACAAAAAGAAAAAAAAGAAAGATTCAAGAAATCTTGATTATTCAAATGAGTGTAAAGCGGAACCAGAATTGATGAATTTTATAATCATTGTACGTATATCATAATTATCATTTTCATTCTAATTCCACGACATGCAATCAAAATTCAAATTGATTTGATTCATCGCAAATTTTGTTCTCCGTCTTCTATCCTCCAATTTAATTCAATGTAATAATCTATATGGTACTTATTGATTTTTATTTTTTTGAGATAGATATGCATTTATTAAACGCAAGATAGCATTGAAATTCTCAATTTCATAGTGTAGAGGCTTTGGGTGATTAAACTTATTTCATCAAGCTCACATGCATAACACGAAGGATATCTTGCTAATTGCTAAAATACATTATTTATACAATCTGAATTAGTGTACAATTTCGGTATGAAGCTATTTGTTTTTCTGCATATGCAACACTTTGGACGATTTTTTCTTTTTCTCTTCTTCAATTTTTTTATTTTTATTTTATTTTATTTTATTTTTTCCTCTTTGGGTTCAATACTATTGTTTGTTAAGAAAGTTGCGAGTTCTCTTCGTATACATATATTTTGGGAGGCGAAAACACGTACAGAAAGGGAGAAGAATATGTCTTTTTGATATTGTGATAGACAAGACCAATCAATTCCCAGTTCTAATGAAAATATGTACTACTTGATTTTCTTTCCCGGTTTTAGCCGGATGGCTAATTGGAGAACTTGCAGCTTTATATCGCACATTGCGCAAATTGTTTGCATTTAATCACAATTTATGGATTTTTATTAATCTGATATACTTTTTCTCAACTTGTATTACAGGTTTCATATATGCCGTTTCATGCTTTTGGGTGCCAGTTGAAGATAGTGTGAGATTTTCTACCTTAATGTTCTATGCCACTGATCTTACAAAATGTTCAGTTCTGGTTTCAAGACACAATTTATAGGCGGTCAGAAAGAGAAATTTGTAAGGTATGTAGAGTCACCTTGTTTATACGAACTCCTATTTTTCTCGTTTTATATAATTTGTTTTGTCACCATTCTGACTGTGTTTATTGTTGGAAGTTCTTTTGTGTTCATTATATCTTACTTAAATAATCTGAGTTTAGTAAGCAAGCTGTAAAACTGAAATTGAGTCTGGCTATGGAACTATCATTGATCTGATACAATGAGAAACTAGTGGCTCTAACAAGTAAACTTTGACATTTTCACTTGGGATTTCTATCTTTTGAAAAATGTAATTTGTTTAATGCAAACACTATGAATTATGTGGTCATAGAAACCTGTACACATTTTTTTTTCCTGTCCACTAAGAAAGGAAGAGTTAAACCTTGTGTATTGGGATATGCGAAGTTCATAAATGGATGCGTCCCCATTCTGATTCAGTCTATTAGACAAATTTCTGCTTAACTTTTCGTTTACCAGTTCAACTCTTAGATAATTCCCTCTAGCTACATTATTGACTTCTAGTTAGGGATTAATTACCCATGCATTCCAATGAAAAATGATGTTCATTGGGAGAATTTCAAATGATACTCTCGCCAGCCATCAGCTTTTGCTTGGGCGAGTTTTTTTCTTCAGATTTACGGCTGCAATAATATGAGGTTGGAGTTGTGCTGGCATTTATGGTATTATGACAAATGCCAAATTTCAGTTTTACCATAATTTTAAGGTTGAAATGTGTGTAACTGTATTTTTGGAAATTTCCATATTGACTTCAATCTCCTCGAGCATTCATCTGATAAAATTATACGCACAAAGACGTTTAAGTGTTGGCGTAATTTATGCCAACAAATTGCAGCATTCAGCTTACTTTATTCCATTAATATTGACATATAATGGATATGCTTGCCACTTTGATTGCTATCCTTCTAATTTGGTCTCAATCTATTGATTGATAAATTATGAAAGTATGAGCTCTTTTCAACTTATTGTACATTCTTTTCATGACATCAAGTTTTTGTAAGTTGATGTCTAGTTGTATCCTGGCCCTCGTTTGTATTATAGGTTGGAAGATTTGGACTCAAGGTACTCATTTCAATCTGATATGGCTGCAAAGAACAGATGTGGATTTAGTTTAGAGGGACTGACAGCTCCTGGCCGTTCTAATAATAACAGTGCATCGAAGTCATTTAAAGTAGGAATCCAAAGAGGATCTGAAGGACTCCTAACCTTTGGCCGATCACTAAGATCTGGAGTCACAAGGGCAGTATTCCCTGAGGATCTCAAAGTTTCCGAGAAGAAGATATTTGATCCTCAAGACAAGTCCCTCCTGTTTTGGAATAGGCTTTTGGTCATATCCTGTATTATTGCGGTATCTGTAGATCCATTATTTCTTTATCTTCCTATTTTCAGGAGTGATGAAATGTGCCTTCATATAGATGAAAGTTTGGCATACACTACCACAACTCTGAGGACAATAATTGATGCCTTTTACCTCATTCGTATGGTTCTCCAATTCCGAACAGCTTATATCGCCCCGTCATCTCGAGTGTTTGGGCGAGGTGAACTTGTAATAGATCCCACACAAATTGCAAGCAGATATCTCCATCGTTATTTTATTGTGGATTTTCTCTCAGTGCTACCTCTACCTCAGGTATGAAGTGTGCTGAGAAATCATAAAAATTAACAGTGTAAAGTAGATGCACTTATTACTTCTGTGCTGTGTTAGTGATGCTGTTGTAGGTTTATCTACATTCAGAATTTTTAGCTGACATGGTAATTAGATGTCCATGATCAGGTAGACATTTATTCCAGTCAAAAACATAGTGAAACTATGAATTGAGAGGATAGCTTAAAAGGTCTATTCCATATTTCAATTATAGAAGACAAAGGAAATAACATAACTGTGCACTTGGAAGCAATTTATGCCGATAATAGAAATCTTTCCACTGCTTTATTTCCTCACTCAATGTAGAAGTACGAATTGTGTTTTTTGTGACAAGTTTCCAATTTCTTATCATTTGCAGATCGTGGTATGGAGATTTCTTCACAGAGCAAAAGGCTCAGATGTATTGGGAACAAAACAAGCATTAGTGATCATTGTATTCATCCAATATATTCCCAGGTTCGTGCGATTTATACCTCTAACTTCGGAGTTGAAGAAGACTGCAGGAGTCTTTGCAGAAACTGCATGGGCTGGTGCCGCATACTATTTATTGTGGTTTCTACTTGCGAGTCATGTAAGTATTTTAGAGAGTCTGTCAGGATGTTCATTATTTATAACACAGTTTAGTTACTTGGCTGGATTATTCGTGTCAAAGCTGTTTTTTGAGGAGACTTATCATTCTCTGCTCGAATCTCTTCAATGTTTCTTCTGTTCTAGTTTAAATTACTCCCCTTGAACTTGTCTTTTAGATCAATTTGACTATACTGAAAGTACTTCTATTTATTTACTTACTCTCGGGAAATGAAATTTGAAAGCTAGTGAACTAAAAGATATATGTTACTAGCCGAAACACAAAATGTTGCCGAGATAGAAGCTGAATTGACCATAAGGGCGAACTCTGGCAGATATCATGGGACATATAGTAGGCATTAACTGGATATCATCAAGTATAGAATATTATCAGTGTCCAAGGCAAATTCTTTATATGGTAATATTTGACCACATTAAAATTAAAAATAAATAAATTGTTTTATCTTGGTATAGCAGTGACCCTTTTGGCATTATTTTGCAGAAATCCTCCATCAGTTTATCCAGATTAAACTGCTTGTTACATGATTAACATGTTGTCTTTGCTGATATAATACAATTATTCTGTACTGATTTACACTTAACCTTGAACTGTATTAAAGATTTGTATTAGTTTTTTGTCACAATTTTGTGATTACCCAAGGAGTTATTATTTTTAAAATGGCAAAAACTCGTGATGAATAAACTGCGATGCCTTTGAAAACTGAAAATGCTAATTACAGAATGATCAACACTTGTTGCATGTACATGCTGGTGGAGTAAGTATTGTACATCTATTTTGGTGTCATATATCTCAGCATTATTATTATTATTTTTAAATATTGCCAGCATTATATTACTGTTGGAGGAGATGCAATTCTCAATCTGACAGAAAACCTCTTTAAGAAGTAAATATTTCCAGCATTATATTACTCTTGGAGGAGTTGCAATTCTCAATCTGACAGAAAAACTTTTTTAGAAGTAAACTGCAATTGGCTTTCAGATTGAAAATGTTAATCACAAAATGACCAGTACTGCTTGTCACATACATTTATGCTGGATATTTTAGGTTGGAATGATCAGAACTTTCTGAGATTGCATTGCTTTTTCTGATTGAGGATATTAGAGTAAAATGTACCTCTCTTTCTCTCACTTCAAATTAATTAACTGTAATTTTCCACCCAAAAACAAGATTAATTTGAGGCAGACCAACAAGCATCTGTGCAGCTTTTTAATTTTTTCTCCTGATTAAAGTTGCTTGATATTCCTCCTGTAACAAGTGGTTGAGCATAACAAACTTGAAGACCTATCTACCATAATAATTTATGCATTTATAAAGCTCACATGGTGCCGATGACATAACAGATATGTGGGGCCTTCTGGTATCTATTAGCTGTGGAACGAAAAGATGCATGCTGGGAGAAAGCTTGTGTAGAAAGTGAAAAGTGTAATATAAACTTTTTGTATTGTGCTCGAGAGGGATTTTCAAGTATGGCAGAATGGAGAAACATCAGTCGGACTGTTCTTGACCCAAAGTGTGCTGTTAATGATGATGGTACCCCATCATTTAAGTATGGCATATATGCACAAGCTCTATCATCTGGTATTCTTGAATCTCAGAACTTTGTCTCAAAATACTTCTATTGTTTGTGGTGGGGCCTACAGAATTTGAGGTATCATTTTTTATTCTTTAAGTCTAGTTTCTTTAATGTCATTTTACTGTTATGGCGCAATGGATTCCTTTTCTATAGTTTTCTGTCAACTTGTTGCTGAATAGATAGGGTAACCACCTTGGAACTGGTTATTATAAAATTCTAAGTGACTTTGACTTGTACGCAGTGTAGTCAAAATTCTTTGGTAAGCATTTGCAACTGTTTTTGTAATAATTGTCCCCTTGCACTGTGTAACAAACTGGAAGTATTATGGTTTATACATCCATTGGATTGGGAGACAGCTTTGGGTCCACTATGGTTATATCTCAATAGTAAGCCTAATAAACAGAAGTACATGTTAGAAGAGCATCCGAGTACATTTCTTACAATTACTGAATTTCCTGGACGAGTTGTTGAGCACTTATATCCTTCATCTCCAATGGATACCGCACAGATATGCTGATTATCATCTTAGTATTTATGTCTGAAAGACATTTGTTGGCATGCTTGTATGTTGATGTCTCAAATTCAAAATAAAGTAGTGAACAAATGCAAGAATGATGGATTGAAAAATCACACCTGTTCAAAATAGAGTTATTCGGTGGCTATAGACAAGCATGGTTCTGCGAGTCAATACTGGCAATGGGTTTGCAAGCACTTATCTATGATTTCATTTTCTGCAGTACACTTGGTCAGGGACTTGTAACCAGTACTTACCCTGGAGAGGTTCTGTTTTCTATCGCAGTTGCCATTTTTGGTCTCCTCCTCTTTGCTCTTCTCATTGGTAACATGCAGGTCAGTACAATATCTTTTCAGGGGCATAGTTAATATTGCTTTATTCTGATCGGAACTTTTTCTGTCAACTATCAGCTGATTGTAGTGAAGTAAATTAATTTAGCATTTCTATTTTGAGTTGGCTTGGTTCAGTTTGGCAATTATGCAATGTAAATTCTCAAATGGTAGTGAATGGTAACTGCCCTGTTGATAGAATTTGCATAATACCCTCAATGGATAGAGTGTTGGATGATAGAGTTGAAGAAAATATTTAAATGACATACATGTGAATGTAACTAATTGTTTAAGATTTTAGATCAAGTGGTTGAATATAGTATCAAAGCAAGCAAATGTCTCGAGTTCAAGTCTCATGATCACCCATTTAAATGAACTGTTCATTTGGTAGGCTTCAATGATATTAAAAATCCCACTTTACATGTGAGGGGATGTATTGAAGATACTATTTAAATGATATATATGTGACCCTATCTAACAGTTTAAGCTTTTTAATCAGTTGGTTCAACATATTCTTTTCATGGTTTCTTGTTGTTCAAAGCCTTTGTTCTTTTGAGGTCTATCCGATATTTACTACGGGCATAGAGAGATCTTGTATAATTAAGAGTTAATCTTCTTGTTTTCATTAATTACATTCTACATCTTCATGGGGGAACATTCCCGAATATTCTATTCTGCTTCTTTCTATATGATAATGGAATAGGCTTTAACCAACAAGATAATGAAGAGATTGAAAGAATAAAGGGATATTAGAGGACGAAGTAAACACTAGAGATTTAGATCCTTGGACATAACTCTCAACAACAGGAATTTTTGAGACTAAAGAATAAAATTCTTTAGTTGTTATATGTGCTGGGACAATCAGGCCTATTTATACTTCACCACTTCACATCTCCAAATCATATTATAACGTGGAAAGCTTAAATAACTCGAAAAAAAGTCTGAAACCTACTATCACTAAGAAGCTCAAATTACTAAGAAAAACTCTAAAAGCCTACTATAATTAGGAAAGCTTAAATCACTAAGAAAATAATCCTAATTCTAGTTTTAAATCTGTAAGAAATATTAACTTAGGGTCCACGTAGATTCTAATCCCTAACCAATTATAATTCAAGTCTAACAAGAATAAGAATATTAGTCCAGAACGGATTTGGAAAAAATGAACCTTTGTGCCTGCAACATTTCCTCAGCGCTAAAGAGAAGAACTCAACTCCACCGAAAAGACTTGGATCTATCATGCATAGATCAAAGATCAACTTGCTTAAGCTTTTCTTCAGATATCTAATTGCTTCTTGGAAAAGGTTTGCGCAACCATTTCACTACCTTGCTTAAATAAGGATCCTCTTGATAGTGATTCATAAACTCCTCAAATCATATCACTTAAGCATGCATTTTAGTCAGCAAGAAAGACATATAAACGATGTAAACAATGAAATTTAGACAGAACAAACTGTGTAAGGAATAAAATTTCATATGTTGAACAACATTGCTTGCGTCTGAAATTTTTCACTCCAGAAAGATGCAGGTCTTCCTTCCTAACTTAAACAACTCCTATCCTCCCATGTGATGTGTCATACACTACAATAAAGAGTTATATAAATGGGGCCAAACTAGAATTGGCACTTGTTTCATGGCTGTCGTGATTTATTTAGAGGGTCTTTCTGCTTCTTTCGTCCAATAAAGGTCTCTCCTTTCAAGTACTCAGCGATGGGACTCTTATTGCACTAAAATTCTGGATACAACTCCATAGAATGAAGCTAATCTGTGGAAGCTATTAACTTCTCTAAAATACTTTGGTGTAGCCATTTTAGCGATTGCTTTGATATTTTTAGGATTTGACTTAATCCTTAAGTTGAAACAAGGAAATCCCAAATACCACTTCTTTAATTTAAGGGATTCACACCTCAGAAGGTGCAATAAGCGTCCATGTGTTGGATATTGTACCAAACTTCATCTTTGTAAGCATCACCACATCAATTTGAACAAAACACCTTTTAATAACGAGAACATCAATTCAAGAATCCTGCAAGGATGAGGATGCTTTTTTATGGGAAACTTGAAAAATTCTATGTTATTTTCCATACTTCCATTTTTAATGATTAAACCACACAGGCCACCTCCAATCTTCCTATACCTCTACTTTAGAAAACGTCAATGTTCACCAAATCACCAAGCTTTCTCCTTTGCAAAGAAAACATATTAATTTCATCCTCTTCCTTTTGGTCCAACTTTCTTTTGATAGGTAAAGTCTCACCTTATCTATTTAGTCAACTTATTTCATCTTCTTCATCAACATATTTATCATAAATAGGTTCTACACATTTTGAATACATAATTTCAACCTCTTTTGAGTTATTTGATGGCGAGGACGTGTAAGAATTGTAACCCATCTCAGAAAGATTGTAAGAGCTACTTCTAGACATTTTCATGGGTCCATAATATAAATTCCTTTACATTTTCACGCTTATTTGATCCTCCAATTTGGCATGTTCCTTGTAGATGTGGTTAGAGTAGGTTTTTGTGCACAAACAATGGTGTACTCCGTGTCAGATGTCAGGGGTTTGAGTTTTCATATCTTCAACTCATGAACTTAGCCGATACAAAGCTATATGATAGCATCCAATTTTTCTTAATTGGCAATTCAGTCCATGATTTATCATTCATGGACTTTGATAAGACTCATCCATTCTACTAGTTAAGAGATAACCCCATAGGTTACAATAAGGTGCCTAGCTTCGCATTGACCCCCTTTTCTTCTGCTTTTAAAGTATAATGATATGCATTTCTCAAGCTTAGAAAGGTGATTGGATTTTTTTTTTTATCTCATGAACTACCCGAGGTTTCCTTTACATCACTTCCTTTAACTCGCTCAAGTAATACTCATTTCATCACGTAGGGTAATTCTCAATCCCAACAAGTTGTGAGAACAGCGAGTTTTTCATTTGTTTCATAGAGGGCAAGTCGAACTTATAAGTTATAGACGTTGTAACGACCCAAATTTTAGCAATTTAAAATCGTTACTAAAACTTTTATTCCATAATTAAATAAATTATTCAAACATTCCATCAGTAAAATAAATAAAACTTATGGGAAACATAATTAATTGATATATGTCTCAAATTCTAAAAAGTAAATTTCACATGGAAAATAAAAACTAAAATAACGATGAAAATAAAAGTCCATAGTCATGTTACTCCGGATTTATTATTTTGAATTCCGTAATTTCTGGCATCATGACTCCATCGCATTGCCTGCCAACCAACGACTCGTACTAATCTGTAAGGAGTAGGGAAAATGGTGGGTAGATGGGAATAATTAGTAGGACACGAAAAAAATCATGTTGCAATCCCGAATAAAAATATTTAAATATGTATCAAAAATATCATACCGTCATCATATTTTTAAAAATTAGTAAGAGCTCATTAAACATCATATTTTTGGCACCGGATGGCCATGACATACATATCATATCTTTAAACTTTCATAAGCATAATAATTCAACAACAAAAAATAAATAGTTTAAATGGGATAAAAACAACAGAACCTCGTTATCCTACCTTGTTAGACCAATTAAGAACTTGTTTATGAGTGATTTTGAGAATTGATTTTTTGACCGTTAAGAGAAAAGTGAGGTCCAGAAGTCAAATATAATGACTGGAATAATGAAATAACGGTTAAAAAAATCAATTTTTTGGGCAAAAAAATCACTCCCAAACAGACTGTAAATTTGAAAGGCAAAAATTGAATTCACGTTCCAATCTCTATTTTCTACTTATTAGCCATGTGTATGTGTATCTTTATATTCTATTGTGCAAATAATAAACCTCTTGTATGGTATTTAATTTGAAAGAGACAATAAAATTTTGATAAGTTTAAAAGTGTGCAAAGTGACGTGCTTTACAATACAAAAAAAAGTACTACAAATCTTTATTCCAAATAGAAATAATATTTTATCCCAAACAACCCAATATATGGCAACCAATCATATCAACTCTTAAAAAATCAAACTACTAGTCAAAACCACCTTTTTCCCATTTGAACCACACGTGGCCATACTCCCAAATTAGTTATAATATATGTATTTATTTATTATTTATTTACATCCCATTCAATAACCACTTCTATAAACTATAATATATTAGGCAGTGGAGGACGCAGATTTTTGGAGGTAGTGGGGCACAATAAAACTTATAAATAAGTTACTAAAAATAATATATTCGATATCTTATTACACTTGTTCTCTACGCGTTCTAATGTTCCATAATTATATCATTGTCAATACTTTAAACGCAGACTTATGTTTAAAGTACTTTTTATACCTGTTACAAACAACCAATTAAAACAATCAATTCGAGTGAAAAATAATCCCTCTATCAATAAAACATATTTACCAATGAAAACAATCAATTCAATTGTTGTTTGGTAATGAAAAGTGTTGTGCATGTGGCTCATATAGAGTGGAACACAGGCCCTGGATCAAATGGGCCGATGCCGGCTGCACGGGCCTTAAAGTTTTATATGGGCCCATGCTAGAGTTAGTATAAATAATATGTTGTAACCCTATTTTTCATAACTGAATAAAGAAATCTCCGCTTCGCTCTCGTGGACGTAAGCACACCGCTGAATCACGTAAAATTCTTGTGTTGATTTTTGTTTTCATCTCTTTAATATTGCGTATAAAATCCAACAAAAAGATTCTCTTCTTTTTTCATGATTTTGGAGTCTATTAAACCCCCCACCCCCACCCCCCAAAAAAAAAAAAAAAAAAAAAAAAAAAGGATCCCCAAAGCTAGTGGGTGACTTGACCCACTAGGACCCAATGTGAGTCTGCCAATGATATCAGATCTTATTTATCCGATTAAACTTTTTCTCGAGCCTAATACACGTAATTAATTACGAGTTATCCAATGAGTATAATATTGATATATTTATCATTACTATATCAATATTTAAATATTTGACCTAATTAAAATTGAATCTAATATATTTATCAATTTAATCCCCCAACTTTTCAAATTTAAAATATAGTATATAAAATAATTAAATTTTAGTATGTGAAAATTTTCGAGAATTTAGAGATGTTGTGGGTGTACTATTCAACTATATGGTTTAGTTGATGCAAAGTTGCTAACTATATAACCATTTGTATTAAAGCCATCATATATTCCAATTGTCTTCTCAAGTTTGCCTTCTTTGAGTGAGATCATGTGCTATTGCTAATTGCTATTATAATCTGCCGCACATTGGATTTGCACAAGCTGTTATGAAAAGGTTTAAAGTTGTCTCCCAAAACCTTCCTCGAAGCTTCCTTCTGAAAGGTTCAGCATGTCACGGTTCCCTTCTAATTCATTCGTTCTGGCTTCTACGAGATATCTATTCCTGTTTCTTTGGTCTCTTGCATAAGTTGTACTATTTTCCTTCGTATCTCTTGCATATGTTGAGTTTGTATCAGCATAGGTGTTGAATATTTGATCTAAAAGTTTGAGCCGTTAAAGAGGACCACGTGTATATTATTTAATTTTTTTTTTTCAACATACTCCCTCACATGTAAATGGGGAGTTATTTTTCCTATGAAAGTTTGACAAGTACACATTTCATCAAATGGGTGACGGTAAGATTTGAACACAGGACCTTTGTGTGCTATAATACCATGTCGAACTATTTGATCTAAAAATTTGAGCTGTTAAAGAGTGCCACATTTAGATAATTTGAATATGACATCTTGAACAAAATTCTTGATTGTCTCATAATTAGGGTTATTAGCTGCTACTATATCAAAATTGACGACAAAACAAGATTAACAACAAAGATAACAAATAGAGTGAAAAACAAGGTTAATCATGGAGATTGAAGTAGAGACTAGAGACTCAGTGCTTTAACCTTTATCCCAGCAAACCTAAATTTTCTGTAATGAAATTGAAGTTCAATTGTTATTTTTGCTGGAACTGTTACTCTTCAGCCCTAAAATGACTTCAAACCTATTCTGACTGGGGAAGCTTAAATTGCTAGGCAAAATAATGTAACTGGGAATGCTTAAACCGCTTGGATAAGTAATCTTAATTCTAGTTGATAACCTATAGAATACTAATTTAAGGCCCCTCAATGTGATTCCTAACCAACTAAATTAGAGTCTACTATGAAAGAATACTAGTCCTAGAGGGATTTAGAAAAATTAACCATTGCTCCTCGATCACCATCAACCAGTTTCATTTTTCTTCTTCATTTTCTTTTTGGTTAAGTGTTCTAAAACAATATTAATGATACGTTGCGGTAGTAGCCACAAATTGGTCACCCACCAAATATGTAATCTTTCTTCATGCGTCATCATCTTGAGAATATCTTAGAGAACCTTGTTTTTGAAACAGACCTATCTTCAATCCCTCACAGTTCGGCTCGAGGAAATGAGGGTCAAAAGACGCGACTCTGAGCAATGGATGCACCATAGAGTTCTCCCTCCTGAACTGAGGGATAGAGTGAGGCGTTATGATCAATACAAATGGCTAGAAACAAGAGGAGTAGATGAGGAGAGCTTGGTCCAAAGTCTACCAAAAGACCTTAGGAGAGATATTAAGCGGCATCTCTGCTTAAATTTGGTCAGAAGGGTAAGTGTGATTTTATCATTGAAAATTATATGGTCATAACATTGAGTTAACTGGACTAGTTAATACATGCGTCTTGCAGTTCTGCAATTTTTTTTCTTTAAGAGAACCTAACATCACCAAAATTTGCTTTATGCTTGTCTTGAACCAACAAAGAAATCAAGATCAGGTTGCAGCTTGATTTTTTCTGTATAACAATTTCAAGAGTATGCAGTTACACGAAAATAAATGTTTGTCAAATTGCTTCTTTCATGCAATGTTCTAGCCATCATACATGCTGCATTGGTTTATTTAATCTTTCTATTAGGATCTTGGTAAAAGATAATCTGCCCTTTGATGATTCTCTATTGTTAACAATAAAATTTAACAATTTTTATAATATGTTATATTTCCTGCAATCTATCTTTGCTCATGAACATTGCTGAATGGGTTACCTGGGTAAGTAGTATGTTCCTACACGGATCTTAAATGAAAGATAATCTGCCTGCAATTCTACACGGCTAATAAATATACAACTCAGGTTCCTCTTTTCGCAAATATGGACGATAGATTGCTTGATGCCATTTGTGAACGGCTTAAACCGAGTCTATACACAGAAAGTACATATATAGTTCGGGAAGGCGATCCAGTTGATGAAATGCTCTTTATCATCCGTGGTCGTCTGGAGAGTGTAACAACAGATGGTGGCAGATCTGGTTTTTTCAACCGTGGTTTCCTTAAAGAAGGTGACTTTTGTGGGGAGGAACTCCTCACATGGGCTCTGGATCCTAAAGCCGGTTCCAACTTACCCCCTTCTACCAGGACTGTAAAAGCTTTGACGGAGGTTGAGGCATTTGCTTTGATAGCTGATGAAGTAAAATTCATCACGAGTCAGTTTAGGCGCATTCACAGTCGCCAGGTTCAGCACACGTTTCGTTTCTACTCTCAGCAGTGGAGGACTTGGGCTGCCAGCTTTATTCAAGCTGCATGGCGCCGGTATTCCCGGAGGAAAAATGCAGAACTTCGCCGGAATGAACTCGAAGACGAAGGTACAGACATTGAATCAGTACCTGGTACTTCTTCCAGCTTTGGTGCAACAATGTTGGCGTCAAGATTTGCAGCTAATGCTATGCGAGGAGTTCACAGGCTCCGTAAATCAACTTCTACACGGCTGATGAATTTGCCGAAGCCCCCCGAGCCCGATTTTGAATCTGATGCATAGCTCTTTTCATTAGATGATCGCATGATTATCTGCCAACTTAGTGAAAATTTGAATGTGTTTTACATTTTTATTTTTTAATTTTTTGTTCCTTCTGCTTTCTTTTGTGTAATGTATCTAGCAGTAACACTTGGCACAATTTGCAATAGAAGTATGGCGAAGTCCATGATAAACTTAGAATGTAAATCATTGTATTCATTTGAGCTAAGAGCAGATGAATCACCACGCAACAACGATTTCTTTACTGGTGTCGAGAAATTAAGAAATTTTTGAGGGAGGTCTCCTCAAGACAAGCATGAAAGGACAAAGAGATGGCTCTTGTAATTGGTGGTGCATCCCAAGTTGCTTCCCCTCTCACTCTTGGTCTCCGTTTGGCAAAATTTATAAATTATGTTGTAAATCGTCAAACTTCAATTTCAATCACACGTTTCGGTAGATCTACAAATACTGTTCATTTATTCATTACTCAAGTATTTATAAATTAAATCATTTGTAGAATTCTTCCATGTCAGAGACTTATTGATTCTGCTTATGGTTAGGGTTACATCATTAGTGTCTGAAAATTATATGTTTGGTTAGGATGGGGCAGTTTCAATTTATAATGTACCTAAGAATGAGAAACCTCCATCCACAATCCTTTCATGTCCATGTAAATGAGCAGATTGGTCACTGATGCTACAAAAAATCTACAAAAAATCTGCACCTACTGATTTCCCGAGCTTGACGATTGTAAATGAGCACAATTGTAGTCTTCCGATACCTAAAACAAAGGCAACGATGTGTGTTCTTGTCGCCTCTCCGATGCTTAAGTCAGGGACTTTATGAGAGAATGTATAATGAAATTGTATGTAAAAAAGTACCTGAAGAATGATTCAAACCTTTGTATTTATAGAAGGAGATGGTGCTCTCCTAGTAGGATTGAACTAGCTGGGTATTCTTATCCAGTAGAGCCCTATTTGCATTATAGTCACAAGACCAATCATGTTTGAGGTAAGATAGTTGAGGTAGAGTCCCTTAGTAGGCGAGACTTCTGTTGGATAATCATATGCATCATGAGGATGTCCTCGAGAGCCTTGACCGAGGACCATGTCTCGAGGACTCTAACAGACGTATTCCATGGGGGTGAGAGTCAAGTCCTCGGGGGTATTTATCCCGAGGATCGCGAACCCCCAAGGACTTCGCAATCCAGAATGTAAGGATTAAGCATATGGAAGTCTTCGAGGGATACTGTCCTTCGGATATCCAATTTGGTAACATCAGTCTCCGTTTAATTTTTTTAATATGTGAATCTGCACCTGTAAGTAGATCTCTGAAGACGGATTCCTCCCATAAAGATTTTCCTGGAAATAAGAAAAAGAGAGACATGAACTGGGTGATACACGTAACACAATGGTCGAGACAAAGGGTAGTGTGATCAAATCAGGGTGAGCTAACTCCTAACCTATCTTCCCTTCGATTTGCAAGCTACAATTTATCTCGTATGAAACGGCAGGTCAACCATACGGCAATCAATTCACTCTCGGGCCTTGTATTCACTATACATCACACTGGGGGAGCTAGTTGTGCCCGAAATACTTATCCTAACCACAAAGAATGAGAGGTCCAAGGCAGAACTAATAACTGGAATGAAGTTTTGTACTGAAGTCCCCGTCCTTTATTGGGAGCTAGGAAGAAGAAATAAATACATCTATGTTAAATGAGAAAAGAACATGAAAATGAGATTGCACCCTACTCGAATCCACAATGACAAGCATAAAAATACCACCTTGTCGGCTACTTCAGTGAGTTTTTAGTAAAGGAGAAGAATCCAAACTAATCTTCGCTTGTACATTCATTCTTTTTGTGTTTGTAACACCTTGAATTTTGAGAATAATGCTGGTATTTTTGACACAAATTAGGTTGGATTTTTGAGAAAATAATTTTTCCTTTATTCAATGTGATTTTTTATCGTGTTTCTATCTTTGTGGTATTTCTAGGATTTGGCATACACTCCTATAAATATTAGACATTTTTTTTCCACTTGAAATATAGAATAATTGTGTAAGCACAATTATGGTACTCTATCAATTAATTATTTGCCTATTATCATGTTTTTTGTTTATGATCATATACTTCATATCGTGTCATATATATTACCTCTATCCATTTTATTTCCTATCAAGTGGTATCAGAGTCATTGGTTGTGAATTGTTTGAGGTTTTTGTTATTGATAGTAGTCATGAAGTACGAAATTTTGCTCTTGGATCGTAATACAAGATTCTCGTTGTGGCAAGTGAAGATGTGAGCTATACTGCACTGATGGATTTGGATGATGAGTTGTTGGAATTTTGACAAAATGCCCACAAATTAAACGATTGAGAATAAACAACGAAAAGTTTGAAAAGCACTTTCATAGATCCATCTTTATCTCTCTAATTATATTTTTTCAGGACGTTTTGAAGAAGAAAATGCAGTTGCATTATGGTTGAAGTTAGAACTATTGTGCATGATTAAATGTTTGAAAAACAAATTGTATTTGAAGCAAAGATTGTATTCTCATTGTATGGTAGAAAGCGGATCTTTGAAAGATCATCGGGCTCTGTTCAAAAGATCATCGCTGATTTGAAGACTTTAAAGGTAAAGTATAATGAAGATGATTAGGACTTAATCCTTTTGTGTTCACTATCAGCTTCGTTTAGAAACACGATCTTGTATAGTCGTGATTCTTTTACCATTGAAGATGTGTATGCTGCTTTGTTCTCAAAAGAAAAGGTGAAGCATCTGGTTGGATAAGAGGTTAGAGATGGAAAATGCCTTATTGTTCATGGTGATCGGAGAATGGGTAAGTCGAGATTAAATTTCAATAATCAAGTTTATTATTATTGCAAGTAGAAATGACACATTCAGAGGATTGTGACAAATTATAGAACAAAGGTAATTTACTGTGTGTCATGGGAAGCAATCAAATACTTCGGATGAAGCCAACATATCGAGAACTATTTAAGTGATGGAGATGTTTTGATGATTTTTGACAAGGAATCCAAACTTGACGAGGAGTGGACTTTGGATACAGCTTGTGCATTCCATATGTGTCCCAATCAAGATTTGTTTGAAACAATGAAACGGTAACGCAATGTGTCGTTATCATGGATAACAACGAACCTTGTTGGGTGGCTAGTATTGGTAGAGTCAGATTGAAGTTGGTGAATAGAATATGTAAAATACTTGATCACGCTCGATATTTTTTAGATTTGAAGAAGAATTTCATTTCGTTGAATACTCTTGATTCAAAAGGATATATGTTCTTTGGATGAGGTGGAGTTTTTAGTGTTTTGACAAAAGAGGTCCCAGTTATACATCTTGCAAGGCCAGGTGGAATTTGTGAAGGAAAGTTAGCACAATTTAGTATTGTGATGGAGATTCAGTTTATTATTGTACCTTTGAGATTTGGTTCGAGGTCCATATCGAAGAGTTCTATTCAGTCGAGTTTGGAAGATATCGTTAATTCCCTTTTGCCATCATTATCCGCGATTCTATCGCATTCAACTGTTAGGTATAAATCCACTGGAGATAGGTACGTGGATGCTGATTCGGTTATACATATTTTTAGCACTTTTGAAGATGTTGAAACTAGTTAGGAGCATTCTACAAAAGCATTGAGAGTCGATTATGCTGCAGGGTATACTTTGATGCTGTTTGATAATTTTTAATTGTTTATGAATTTTGGGGAACCCGATGTTTGAGTTCATGTATCCTGTTGGATACCATGCAAAATGATGGGTATTTTTGTGTTGGAAAAATTTTGGTTCTTATTGAAGTGCTCAAATTTTTTGTTGCAGTCAGATCTTTTTTTTAGGTGGACAAATTTTGAAGCTTTGTTCGTTGTATTGAAATTTGAGTCAAGGTGGAGATTGTTAAGTTTTTAACCCAAATTAGGTTGGATTTTTTAGAAAATATTTTTCCTTTATTCGAAGCGATTTTTGATATTATTTCCATCTTTTTGGTATTTTTAGGATTTGACCTGCACTCTTTAAATACCAGATTTCTTCACAAGTTTTGTAAAATACTTCGTTTTCCTGTCAATTAATTTTTTGCATTTTATCTTGTTGTTTGTTTGCAATCATATACTTCGTGTCGTATTATATATATATATTACCTCGATCCATTTTATTTAAAAAAATTGAATTTACGTGACTTTTCTATCCGATCTTTCTACGTCTCCATCACTCTCTCTATATTCCCTTTTTTCCTCTCATCCCTCTCACTCACTTACATACAAATTCTTACACTTTTCTCTCCATTATTCTGCATCTCTCATCATTTTTCCACTCTCTTTATCCCTCATTTCCCTCAACCATCTCCCTCATTCACACACACATTCTTCCCGAATAAAGCCAGTTAGCCATGGTTAAAAACAGAGAAGGAGGAGATAGACTTAGATGGCGATAATAGTTGGATGTTTTTTATTTTAATTTTTCAATCTGTCCAATTGGGGGCGACACGTGTCACACCTGTTTTTGAGACTTTTTTCACCTTAGATGTGTAGCACAATTGTTCTTTCCGACTATCTATCTTATTTATTGCCCCTCTCTCTTATATTATCCCAAAATCTCTCTGTCACTCATTCTTTCTATTTCCATATTCATAAATAACAAATTAAACTTAGGTATAGGAGGCAAATAGAATTTTAACAATTCTCATTTTAGGTCAAGTACTTACACATACTTTCTTTCCCACTATCTCCCTTATTTATTCTCCCCTCTCTCTCTTATATTCTCCCAAACTTTCTCTTTCACGTACTCTCTTTCATGTCGTATTCATATATAAAAAATTAAATTTATGCATAGGAGGCAAATAGAATTGAGAATACTATTTGCAATCGCTTACTACTGCAGAAACCTTATATGGTATACATATGGTCGGTTAGTGATTTGATGTATTAATATAATAGTTTTTTTTATTGTCTTATACATCATTGCATCCTTAGAATCAGTCCAGAACATGGGTAACCTCCATTCAACTTAGTTCTATACATATTTCATCAATTTTGGAGACGAAGAACAAGGCGCAATCATTAACTAAAGGCAAGTTATTTAAGTATTGAAGATCATTAATCCAAAGTCAAGATTCAAGCCATATTCTAAATTGAGGTAATGTCTTTTTATTATTTCTTGTATAGTTTAATATTTGGGTTGGTTAGCTAGGTTTTTCAATTGTATTGGATGAATGTTTGAATCATATTGTCATTTATTTCAATTCAAGACTTTAACTTGAATATTTTGTGTTATTGCTCGATAAATTTTACACACCCATTGCACTATTTATTGCTTGATTACCAATTAAGTAGTTAATTGATTGTTATAGTGTGGAATACTCACAATGAGTCTACAATAGGGTAAAATTAACATTTATAGTTAGAATTATGAATAATCTCTTTCATGCATGTAATCTTATTGATCATCTAAATTGAATGCATGACTTTCATATGAATTCGGACTAGAAATATGATCGTCTCATTTTAGTCATAGATTGATGTATCTTGGAAAATAGCATTTAATGTATTGGTTTTATTGGTTGTAAAAAATGCATGAATTGAATAAAACGATTATTGAGAATTGAAATAGATAAAAACAAAGGGATCAAATACAAGCATTCATATTATAATTAATCACTTGTTATCGCTTTCTTAGAGTATAATTGAATAAATAACAAACAAACTACAACTCTTTTGATGTCACCATACTTCGAATTTAATAGCAGCTATTGAATTACAAATTATACCTTATTTCTCGTGAAAATGATACTCTTAACTTACAAATCTTATTACTTGTACAACGATCCTATAAGCTTGTGAGTTTCACTCGAACACAAAACACTAAAGCAATCTGCGAAGGGATTAAATCAAGTATTTATTTATTTTTCATCTAGTGGACTTAATTTTATGAGCTTGTAATTAATACCTTTTAGTTAGTTTCCTCTCAATGCTTATTGCATGACTTGAAATAGAATATTATCTTCTCAAGTTTAACTAATCCAAAATTTAGCATCAAATATTAAACTTTGTAAAGTAAAATAAAATCTTATCCTATTCAACTTCCTAGACAGTTTTGTCATAATTAAAATATACATATAAAAAATTACTAAAATCCAGATATCTGCTTAGGAAATTTTAAATTCATTACAATTCCGCCATGTTATGAATAAAATAAACTTCGTAACAATCTAGGTTAATTTGTAATTTGAGTCTTACAGTGTTCCTCTTTGTTTCGGCTGAAGCTGTCAAATACCCATTGGAAGACGATTTCAGATCAGTACTGATGGATTCTCTTCAGTCAACAATGAACATTGATGTAGTAGTTAAGGTTTCAGATTGCAACTGCTTCAGCCATTCAACTACGCCATGCGGAGGATAACTCCGTATCAACATCTTCTTCCCACCAAGTGGCCGTCTGTAATATCAAATTTACTTGTTACGTGCTATGTAACCGAGCTAAAAATTTTCAAACGGCGTCATTATGCAGATTATCGAAAGAAACTGCAACAGCCAATTATGATGCTGTAAAAAGCACAATTAGTCACTCGTAGAAAAGTTTCGTCTTCCCAACTCAAACTTTATTTTGTCACGAACTGGACCTGTTTGTTTGAGTTTGGTCATTTAGTTAAGATCGGTTAGTTTTTCCATTGGAATTTCTGACCTCTAACTTGAAACAAAAAGCAAACTTCAGCGACCAATTTGAAACACAATAAAGGATAACACGAAAAATCTGATTTGGACACTAGGGAGTGAGGGAGGAAGAAAGGAAAACCTTGTAACCTCTTCGAAGGAACTCGAGTGAGCTTCCTTGTTCCTCCTGCAACCCTAGGACCCTCAATAGTTCTTCTTTAGTCTACCATGCCAAATAAAAGCAAAGTTAATAAGGTTTGTTTATCACGTATATGAAGTCACCAAAAAAGTGCAGTTGACAGGATCAGATGCATATTTACTTCACCCAGAGTGAAACGAGTTGTGCTCTCTGCTACGCAAGCATAAGAACCATCTGTTTGCTTTAACATCACCTGCCAAGGCCCTGAAGAAGCAATCGCAAAGGGTTTATTATATGATTATTGAAGTTAAATGAATTAAAACTGAATCATTGTTACTATCTACCTTTTTCTTCATTCAGGTACATTTTCAGACAAGATATAGACCATGTTTGGCTAAGCAATGTAAAAATCAGTATTCCAAACATGTTGGGTTAGATTACTTTTAAGTATCTAAAAGAAGTTACTTATTTTGAAAGAACTTGACCCTTAGTGTCGAAGTAACATAACTCATTTACAGATTTAAGCAATCAAAAAAATTATTGATTTTAAAACTTTCTTATTTGTTTATAAATTTACTTTTTAAGCTTAGTCAAACATGCTCATAGTATTTATATATTTGAGTCCTCTCCAACACACTAAAAGAGTTAAGAGTGAACTGGAAATGAAAAAATTGAAGAAAATAGATAGCTGGAAAGAGGAAAAAAACAACTAAACAGAACTATTAGTCACCCGGGTATTGACGAAATAATGCTCCACTGTAATTCACCAGATAAGGTGCCACTGCAACTGTCTTTTTCAGTACAAAATATTTAGTATTCTAGATAAAATGTCAAGATAAGATAAAAGGAAATGCTCATAAAATTGTGATCATCAGGACAGTACCTTTGAGTAATCTCTTGTTCGTATGTAAAAGACTGGAATAAATTGAGAAAGAAAACGAAAATGTAAATCTTTGGGCGGGAAACCCAAAAGACCCAGATCAGCTCTGCACATTTTGATTAATGTTTGTCAAAGGTATTGCATAGAAACATCAATATGGAGCTTGATAATCCATCATAATTCACAAATAGCTTCTGCATACCGTAGTGTGTCAAGTTCCAAGTTAAAGAGAAGACAAGGTGTGGAAGATGCAAATTTTTCCTGCATTATCCAGAAACACCATTAATAAGATAAAGAATCATCATTATCTATGAAGCCTTATTACCATTACTTTGTGTCGACTTATTGTCAGCTACATTGATCCTTTTTCATCACTCCGCTTCATTCTTTCGTTAGATCTACCTGGAGATGTATAGAAACTAAATCCTTAACAACCACAACAAGCCATCTTACTTTAGGTTTATTCCTCTTTGTAACTTGCTACGCCGAACTACTTTACGAAGAGATTTTAGGGTTCTTTAAACCTTTTCCATCAGAGTGTTTCAGGAGGTTTTGCAAAGAAGACCCAACCTAACCCTACCACAGCAGGCGGGTTGCTTCCTCTGTCGTCACCGGGGACTCTTGGTGAGAAGACCTTAGGATAAGTTACTAAAACAAACAGGGGAGGAAAGGATCAACCTGTTCAGTAGAACTCTGAAGAAAGACTGTTGGAATCATAGTTCAGATTAAAGTTGGTTTAGTGAGGGCGACTGCGAAAGTCACCAAATGGGTCAATCTTCTCCTCCGGTTTGTTCCAGATTTGAAATATAAAAAGGCGAAGGATTGTAGTTTCCTTAGCTAATTACCGAACTGGGATTGCTCCCCAGCTTGAGCAAGAATGGTTGAGCAGAGAGGAGTAGTTCGCTTACTTCTACCCTTGGTTGGGAGAGAAAGTCCCCTCCTTGAGAAGCGGGGAAATGATCAAAGAGAAGAACCAGAGTGGTGGGCAGGGCGAAAGATTAGGAAACAATTTTCCTGCTCTTAATAATTCAAGATAACTTCTCCATAGATGATAGCACTGATTCAGAACTCCGGATGGTTATTACATTAATTTAGGAAGAAAAAATATAAAACATGATATTGCATTCCATTTCCAATCAGTAGTTCAGTTCGTTTATTTTGTTTCCCAAATAAAATCCAAATGAGGACCCGAGAAGGCAGTAAAAATCAGCCACATACGATTTTGATAGTGGATCCAAGAGAAAATGGGGTGGGAAGCCGCAAAATGTAGACAACAAAAGGAGAAAGAGGAAAACGAAGATAACAGACACTCAACAAAATAAATGTTTCATTTAACAAGTTAATTCACGTTCTATTCAAAAATTAAGTAGCAGACTAAGAGTCTGATCTAAAATTAAGAAACAAAAAGTTAATTCTGGTAATTTACTTCGAAAACATAGTTTACACGGCTAATAAATATACAATTCAGGTTCCTCTTTTCGCAAATATGGACGATAGATTGCTTGATGCCATTTGTGAACGGCTTAAACCGAGTCTATACACAGAAAGTACATATATAGTTCGGGAAGGTGATCCAGTTGATGAAATGCTCTTTATCATCCGTGGTCGTCTGGAGAGTGTAACAACAGATGGTGGCAGATCTGGTTTTTTCAACCGTGGTTTCCTTAAAGAAGGTGACTTTTGTGGGGAGGAACTCCTCACATGGGCTCTGGATCCTAAAGCCGGTTCCAACTTACCCCCTTCTACCAGGACTGTAAAAGCTTTGACGGAGGTTGAGGCATTTGCTTTGATAGCTGATGAAGTAAAATTCATCACGAGTCAGTTTAGGCGCATTCACAGTCGCCAGGTTCAGCACACGTTTCGTTTCTACTCTCAGCAGTGGAGGACTTGGGCTGCCAGCTTTATTCAAGCTGCATGGCGCCGGTATTCCCGGAGGAAAAATGCAGAACTTCGCCGGAATGAACTCGAAGACGAAGGTACAGACATTGAATCAGTACCTGGTACTTCTTCCAGCTTTGGTGCAACAATGTTGGCGTCAAGATTTGCAGCTAATGCTATGCGAGGAGTTCACAGGCTCCGTAAATCAACTTCTACACGGCTGATGAATTTGCCGAAGCCCCCCGAGCCCGATTTTGAATCTGATGCATAGCTCTTTTCATTAGATGATCGCATGATTATCTGCCAACTTGGCAAAAATTTGAATGTGTTTTACATTTTTATTTTCTAATTTTTTGTTCCTCCGCTTTCTTTTGTGTAATATATCTAGCAGTAACACTTGGCACAATTTACATTAGAAGTATGGCGTAAGTCAGTCATTGTATTCATTTGAGTTAAGAGCAGATGAATCACCACGCAACAACGATTTCTTTACTGGTGTCGAGAAATTAAGAAATTTTTGAGGGAGTTCTCCTCAAAACAAGCATGAAAGGACAAAGAGATGGCTCTTGTAATTGGTGGTGCATCCCAAGTTGCTTCTCCTCTCATTCTCTTGGCCCCCGTTTGGCAAAATTTATAAATTATGTTGTAAATCGTCAAACTTCAATTTCAATCACATGTTTCAGTAGATCTACAAATACTGTTCACTTATTCATTACTCAATTATTTATAAATTAAATCATTTGTAGAATTCTTCCATGACAGAGGCTTATTGATTCTACTTATGGTTAGGGTTACATTATTAGTGTCCGAAAATTATATGTTTGGTTAGGATGGGGCAGTTTCTATTTATAATGTACCTAAGAATGAGAAACCTGCGTCCACAATCCTTTCACGTCTATGTAAATGAGCATATTGGTCACTGATGCTACAAAAAATTTGCACATGCTGATTTCCTGAGTTTTAGGATTGTGAATGAGCATGATTGTAGTCTTTAGGTACCTGAAACAAAGGCAACGAGATGTGTTCTTGTCGTCCCTCCAATACTTAAGTCAAACAAGAAATTTATGAAAGAATGTATAAGGAAATTATATGTAAAAATGTACCTGAAGAATGATCCAAACCTTTGCACTTATAGAGGGAGATAGTTGGGTATTCTTATCCAATAGAGTCCTATTTGCATAATAGTCACAAGACCAATCATGTTTGAGGTAAGATAGTTGAGGTAGAGTCCCTTAGGAGGCGAGACTTCTATTGGATAATCATATGCATCATGAAGATGTCCTCGAGAGCCTTGACTGAGGACCATGTCTCGAGGACTCTAACAATCGTATCCCATGGAGGTGAGAGTCAAGTCCTCGGGGGTATTTATCTCGAGGACCACGAACCCGAAGGACTTCGTAATCCAGAATGTAAGGATTAAGCATATGGAAGTCTTTGAGGTATACCGTCCTTTGGATATCCAATTTGGTAACATCAATCACCGTTTAGTTTTTTTAATATGTGAATCTGCACTTGTAAGTAAATCTCTGAAGACGGATTCTTCCCATAAAGATTTTCATGGAAATAAGAAAAAGAGAGACATGAACTGGGTGATAGTCGAGACAAAGGGCAGTGTGATCAAATCAGGGTGAGCTAACTCCAAACCTGTCTTCCCTTCGATTTACAAGCTACAATTCTCTCATATGAAGCGGCAAGTCAACCATACGGCAATCAATTCTCTCTCGGGCCTTGTATTCACTGTACATCACACTGTGGGAGCTAGTTGTGCCCGAAGTACTTATCCTAAGCACAAAGAATGAGAGGTCCAAGGCAGAACTAATAACTGGAATGAAGTTTTGTACTGAAGTCCCCGTCCTTTATTGGGAGCTAGGAAGAAGAAATAAATACATTTATGTTAAATGAGAAAAGAACATGAAAATGAGATTGCACCCTACTCGAATCCACAATGACAAGCATTTAAGCAATAAAAACACCACCTTGCCGGCTACCCCAACGAGTTTTTAGTAAAGGAGAAGAATTCAAATTAGTCTTCGCTTGTACATTCCTTCTTTTTGTGTTTGTAACACCTTGAATTTTGAGAATAACATTGGGTATTTTTGACACACACTAGGTTGGATTTTCGAGAAAATATTTTTTCCTTTATTAAATGTGATTTTTTATCGTGTTTCCATCTTTGTGGTATTTCTAGGATTTGGCATGCACTTCTATAAATATTAGACCTTTTTTTTTCACCTGAGATATAGAATAATTGTGTAAGCACAAATATTGTATTCGTTTTCTTCACATTAGTCAATTGAATAAAATACTCTGTTACTCTATCAATTAATTATTTGCCTATTATCATGTTGTTTGTTTATGATCATATACTTCATATCGTGTCATATATATTACCTCTATTTGTTTTATTTCCCATCAGTGGTATCGAAGTCATTGATTGTGATTTGTTTGAGGTTTTTGTTATTGATAGTAGTCATGAAGTACGAAATTTTGCCCTTGGATCGTAGTACAAGATTCTCGTTGTGGTAGGTGGAGATGTGAGCTATACTGCACTGATGGATTTGGATGATGAGTTGTTGGAATTTTGACAAGATGCCCACAAATTGGACGGTGGAGAAGAAACAACGAAAAGTTCGAAAAGCACTTTCCTAGATCCATCTTCATCTCTCTAATAATATTTTTTTAGGACGTTTTGAAGAAGAAAATGGCAGTTGCATTGTGGTTGAAGTTGGAATTATTGTGCATGATTAAATGTTTGACAAACAAATTGTATTTGAAGTAAAGACTGTATTCTCATTGCATGGTAGAAAGTGGATCTTTGAAAGATCATCTAGCTGTGTTCAAAAGATCATTGCTGATTCGAAGACTTTAAAGGTAAAGTATAATAAAGATGATTAGGTCTTAATCCTTTTGTGTTCACTATCAGCTTCATTTAGAGACATGATCTTGTATAGTCATGATTCTTTCACTATTGAAGATGTGTATGCTGCTTTGTTCTCAAAAGAAAATATGAAGCATCTAGTTGGATATGAGGTTAGAGATGGAAAAGGCCTTGTTGTTCATGGTGATCGGAGAATGCGTAAGACGAGATTAAATTTCAGTAATCAAGTTTATTATTATTGCATGAAGAAATGTCACATTCAGAGGATTGTGACAAATTGCAGAACAAAGGTAATTTGACTGTGTATCATGGAAAGCAATCAAATACTTCGTACAAGGCCAACATACCGATAATTATTTAAGTGATGGAGATGTTTTGATGATTTTTGACATGGAATCCAAACTTGACGGGAGTGGACTTTGGATACAGTTTGTGCATTCCATATGTGTCCTAACCGAAATTTGTTTGAAATAATGAAACGGTAACGCAATGTGTCGTTATCATGGATAACAACGAACCGTGTTAGGTGGCTAGTATTGGTAGAATCAGATTGAAGCTGGTGAATAGAATATGTAGAATACTTGATCACGCTTGATATTTTTTAGACTTGAAGAAGAATCTCATTTTGTTGAATACTCTTGATTCAAAAGGATACACATTCTTTGGATGAGGTGGAGTTTTGAGCATTTGGAAGGGTGTTCTTGTTGTATTGGAGGACAAAAGAGGTGCCAGTTATACATCTTGCAAGGTCACACATAATTTGTGAAGGAAAGTTAGTACAGTTTAGTACTGTGATGGAGATTCAGTTTATTATTGTACCTTTGAGATTTGGTTCGAGGTCCAAATTGAAGAGTTCTATTCAGTCGAGTTTGGAAGATATAGTTAATTCCGTTTTGCAATCATTATTTGTGGTTCCATCGTATTCAACTGCCAGGTATAAATCAACTGGAGATAGGTACATAGATGTTGATTCAGTTATACATGTTTCGAGCATTTTTGAAGGTGTTGAGACTAGCCAGGAGCATTCTATGAAGGCATTGAGAGTCGATTATGTTGTAGGGTGTACTTTGACGCCGTTTGATAATTTTTAATTGTTTATGAATTTTGGGAAACCCGATGTTTGAGTTCATGTATCTTGTTGGATATTGTGGAAAATGATGGGTATTTTTGTGTTGGAAAAAGTTTGGTTCTTATTGAAGTGTTCGAATTTTTTGTTGCAATCAGATTGTTTTTTAGGTGAACAAATTTCGAAGCTTTGTTCGTTGTATTGAAATTTGAGTGAAGGTGGAGATTGTTGAGTTTTTGACCCAAATTTGGTTGGATTTTTTAGAAAATATTTTTCCTTTATTCGAAGTGATTTTTTATATTGTTTCCATCTTTGTAGTATTTTTAGGGTTTGACATGCACTCTTTAAATACTAGATTTCTTCACAAGTTTTGTATTGCTGAAATATAAAATAATCGTGTAAGTACAATTATTGTATTTTTTCTATATTAGTCAATTGAATAAAATACTTCGTTTTCCTGTCAATTAATTTTTTGCATTTTATCTTATTGCTTGTTTGCAATCATAAACTTCGTTTGTGTTATATGTATATTACCTCAATTCGTTTTATTTAAAAAAATTGAATTTACATTACTTTTCTATCCGAATGTTCTTTCTACGTCTCCATCATTCTCTCTCTATTCCCTTTTTTCCTCTCATCCCTCTCACTCACTTACATACAAATTCTTACACGTTTCTCTCCATTATTCTGCATCTATCATCATTTTTCAACTCTCTTTATCGCTCATTTCCCTCAACCATCTCTCTCATTCACACACACATTCTTTCTCAAATAAAGCCAGTTAGCTATGGTTAAAAACAGGGAAGGATGAGATAAACCTAGGTGGCGATAATGGTTGGCTGTTTTTGTTTTAATTTTTCAAATTGTTCAATTGTAGGACGACACGTGTCACACAGTTTTTGAGCATCTTTTCACCTTAGATGTGTAGCACAATTGTTCTTTTCGACTATCTATCTTATTTATTGTCCCACTCTCTTATATTCTCCTAAACTCTCTCTGTCGCTCATTCTTTCTATTTCCATATTCATATGTAACAAATTAAACCTACGTATAGGAGGCAAATAGAATTTCAACAATTCTCATTTTAGGTCAAGTACTTACACACACTTTCTTTCCCACTTCTCCCTTATTTATTCTCCCTTCTCTCTCTTATATTCTCCCAAACTCTCTCTTTCACATACTCTCTCTCATGTCGTATTCATATGTAACAAATTAAATTTATGTATAGGAGGTAAATAGAATTGAGTTATGCTATTTCAGTCGCTTACTATTGCAAAAGTCTTATGTGGTATACATATGGTCGATTAGTGATTTGATGTATTAATATAATAGTTTTTTTTATTGTCTTATGCATCATTGCATCCTTAGAATCAGTCCAGAACATGGGAAACCTCCATTCAACTTAGTTCTATACATATTTCATCAATTTTGGAGACAAAGAACAATGCACAATCATTAACTAAATGCAAATTATAAAAGTATTGAAGATCATTAATCCAAAGTCAAGATTCAAGCCAAGAAATTGAATTGTTTCAATTTCTCCATTATTCTAAATTGAGGTAATGTCTTTTTATTATTTCTTGTATAGTTTAATAATTAGGATGGTTAGCTAGGTTTTTCAATTGTATTGGAGGAATGTTTGAATCATATTGTCATTTATTTCAATTCAAGACTTTAATTTAAATATTTTGTGTTATTGCTTGATTGATTTTACACACCCATTGCACTATTTATTGCTTGATCACCAATTAAATAGTTAGTTGCTTGTTATAGTGTGGAATATTCACAATGAGTCTAGAACAGGGTAAAATTAACATTTGTAGTTAGAATTATGAATAATCTCTTTCATACATTTAATCTTATTGATAATCTAAATTGAATGCATGACTTTTATATGAATTCGAACTAGAAATATGATCGTCTCGTGTTAGTTATAGATTGATGTATCTTGGAAAATAGCATTTAATGTATTAGTTTTATTGGTTGTAAAAAATGCATGAATTGAATAAAACGATTATTGAGAATTGAAATAGATAAAAACAAAGGGATACATGAATCAAATACAAGCATTCATATTATATTTAATCACTTTTTATCGCTTTCTTAGAGTAGAATTAGAATAAATAACAAATAAATCACAGCTCTTTTGATGTCACCATACTTCGAATTTAATAGTAGCTATTGAATTACAAATTATATTTTATTTCTCATAGAAATGATACTCTTAATTTACAAATCTTATTACTTATACAACGATCTTATAAGCTTGTGAGTTTCACTCGAACACAAAACACTAAAGCAATCTGCGAAGGGATTACATCAAGTATTTATTTAATTTTTTTTTTTCATCTAGTGGACTTAATTTTATGAGCTTGTAATTGATGCATTTTAGTTTGTTTCTTTTCAATGCTTATTGCATGACTTGAAATGTGAATATTATTTTCTCAAGTTTAACTAATCCAAAATTTAGCATTAAATATAAACTTTGTAAAGTAAAATAAAATCTTATCATATTCAACTCCCTAGACAGTTTTGTCATAATTAAAATATACATATAAAAATTACTAAAATCCAGTTATTTGCTTAGGAAATTTTAAATTCATTACAATTCCGCCATGTTATGAATAAAATAAACTTTGTAACAATCTAGATTAATTTGAAATTTGAGTCTTACAGTGTTCCTCTTTGTTTCGGCTGAAGCTGTCAAATACCCATTAGAAGACGATTTCAGATCAGTACTGATGGATTCTCTTCAGTCAACAATGAACATTGATGTAGTAGTTAAGGTTTCAGATTGCAGCTGCTTCAGCCATTCAACTACGCCATGCAGAAGATAACTCTGTATCAACATCTTCTTCCCACCAAGTGGCCGTCTGTAATATCAAATTTACTTGTTACGTGCTATGTAACCAAGCTAAAAACTTTCAAACGGCGTCATTATGCAGATTATTGAAAGAAACTGCAACAGCCAATTATGATGCTGTAAAAAGCACAATTAGGCACTCGTAGAAAAGTCTCATCTTGCTAACTCAAATTTTATTTTGTTCCAAACTGGACCTTTTTTTGTTTTGAGTTTGGTCACTTGGTTAAGATCGGTTAGTTTTTCCATTGGAATTTCTGACCTCTACCTTGAAACAAAAAGCGAACTTCAGCGACCAATTTGAAACACAATAAAGGATAACAAGAAACAGAAAACACGAAAAATCTGATTTGAACACTAGGGAGTGAGGGAGGAAGAAAGGAAAACCTTGTAACCTCTTCGAAGGAACTCGAGTGAGCTTCCTTGTTCCTCCTGCAATCCTAGGACCCTCAATAGTTCTTCTTTAGTCTACCATGCCAAATAAAAGCAAAGTTCATAAGGTTTGGTTATCACGTATATGAAGTCACCAAAAAAGTGCAGTTGACAGGATCAGATGCATATTTACTTCACCCAGAGTGAAACGATTTGTGCTCTCTGCTACGCAAGCATAAGAACCATCTGTTTGCTTTAACATCACCTGCCAAGGCCCTGAAGAAGCAATTGCAAAGGGTTTATTATATGATTATCGAAGTTAAATGAATTAAAACTGAATCATCGTTACTATCTACCTTTTTCTTCATTCAGGTACATTTTCAGACAAGATATAGACCATGTTTGGCTAAGCAATGTAAAAATCATTGTTCCAAACATGTTGGGTTAGATTACTTTTAAGTATGTAAAAGAAGTTACTTATTTTGAAAGAACTTGACCCTTAGTGTCGAAGTAACATAACTCATTTACAGATTTAAGCAATCAAAAAAATTATTGATTTTAAAACTTTCTTAGTTGTATATAAATTTACTTTTTAAGCTTAGTCAAACATGCTCATAGTATTTATATTTGAGTCCTCTCCAACACCTAAAAGAGTTAAGAGTGAACTGGAAATGAAAAAATTGAAGAAAATAGATAGCTGGAAAGAGGAAAAAAACAACTAAACAGAACTATTAGTCACCCGGGTATTGACGAAATAATGCTCCACTGTAATTCACCAGATAAGGTGCCACTGCAACTGTCTTTTTCAGTACAAAATATTTAGTATTCTAGATAAAATGTCAAGATAAGATAAAAGGAAATGCTCATAAAATTGTGATCATCAGGACAGTACCTTTGAGTAATCTCTTGTTCGTATGTAAAAGACTGGAATAAATTGAGAAAGAAAACGAAAATGTAAATCTTTGGGCGGGAAACCCAAAAGACCCAGATCAGCTCTGCACATTTTGATTAATGTTTGTCAAAGGTATTGCATAGAAACATCAATATGGAGCTTGATAATCCATCATAATTCACAAATAGCTTCTGCATACCGTAGTGTGTCAAGTTCCAAGTTAAAGAGAAGACAAGGTGTGGAAGATGCAAATTTTTCCTGCATTATCCAGAAACACCATTAATAAGATAAAGAATCATCATTATCTATGAAGCCTTATTACCATTACTTTGTGTCGACTTATTGTCAGCTACATTGATCCTTTTTCATCACTCCGCTTCATTCTTTCGTTAGATCTACCTGGAGATGTATAGAAACTAAATCCTTAACAACCACAACAAGCCATCTTACTTTAGGTTTATTCCTCTTTGTAACTTGCTACGCCGAACTACTTTACGAAGAGATTTTAGGGTTCTTTTAAACCTTTTCCATCAGAGTGTTTCAGGAGGTTTTGCAAAGAAGACCCAACCTAACCCTACCACAGCAGGCGGGTTGCTTCCTCTGTCGTCACCGGGGACTCTTGGTGAGAAGACCTTAGGATAAGTTACTAAAACAAACAGGGGAGGAAAGGATCAACCTGTTCAGTAGAACTCTGAAGAAAGACTGTTGGAATCATAGTTCAGATTAAAGTTGGTTTAGTGAGGGCGACTGCGAAAGTCACCAAATGGGTCAATCTTCTCCTCCGGTTTGTTCCAGATTTGAAATATAAAAAGGCGAAGGATTGTAGTTTCCTTAGCTAATTACCGAACTGGGATTGCTCCCCAGCTTGAGCAAGAATGGTTGAGCAGAGAGGAGTAGTTTGCTTACTTCTACCCTTGGTTGGGAGAGAAAGTCCCCTCCTTGAGAAGCGGGGAAATGATCAAAGAGAAGAACCAGAGTGGTGGGCAGGGCGAAAGATTAGGAAACAATTTTCCTGCTCTTAATAATTCAAGATAACTTCTCCATAGATGATAGCACTGATTCAGAACTCCGGATGGTTATTACATTAATTTAGGAAGAAAAAATATAAAACATGATATTGCATTCCATTTCCAATCAGTAGTTCAGTTCGTTTATTTTGTTTCCCAAATAAAATCCAAATGAGGACCCGAGAAGGCAGTAAAAATCAGCCACATACGATTTTGATAGTGGATCCAAGAGAAAATGGGGTGGGAAGCCGCAAAATGTAGACAACAAAAGGAGAAAGAGGAAAACGAAGATAACAGACACTCAACAAAATAAATGTTTCATTTAACAAGTTAATTCACGTTCTATTCAAAAATTAAGTAGCAGACTAAGAGTCTGATCTAAAATTAAGAAACAAAAAGTTAATTCTGGTAATTTACTTCGAAAACATAGTTTTGATATTCAATTGCATTTAAGGATTAGAAATAAGGCATGCAAGGTTGTAGAATAAGCCAAAGGGGTAAAAGCAAATAGCGTACCATATACTTCTCGACATTAGACAGATCACGAGTGCTGCAATTGATGAATATGTAGAGTGATGGTGGCTTGTCAGATTGCCAACGAGCTGCATTAGAAGAGAGAGAATGAGTAGTTAAGTCCAAAGCATCTAGGCACTGAACACTAAAGATTATATTATACCAAATGAAAACATTTCAATATTAATGTGCAATTATGCAACGTAGTTCCAGTACTAAATTGAGTGAAAATATGATGGTGCAAGAACTCTAGTGTCTATTTCTATGTACCATGATAGGCAGAAAGATAGCATTAAAATATGCTATGCTTATCATGATGGGCAGCAAGAAAGAATTAAATTTATACAACCAACCTTCATTTTCATCCTCGAAATCAAAATCCAAAGTGTCTCTTATGGATTTGAAAAATGTTGTGACTGGACCACTGGGAACATCATCCAAGGATCCAACAGTTATACCATCAATCTGACAAAAAAATTAATAATAATAGTTTAACAATATGAACTTCCAGCTACTGTGATGTATTGACTCTCCTTAAGTTGAAAGAACAATAAGTTTGGACCAAGTAGACCTAAACCATGTAGGCACCAATACTATCAATGTCAGTCTATCTATGGCTATTATCTATCTCCAGCCCACCTAGGGTTCATGAGAATTAAACAAAATGCCTGATAAGAAAAGGACTGCCTAGTTGGGTATAGAGGACCAACAAAGCCCACGTCAATCCGACATCATATACCATTGGAAGTTAAATCTTCAATAAGCTTTGTCTCAATATATTTGAAAAGTATTATCAAAGAATTGAACTTCAAAATAAAGCTTCTATGTAGAGACAAGCAACTTACTTCACTTGGTTCTCGAAATCACCAAGAAAAAAATTCAATCATTCTTTTCCATTCTCAATGTGAAACCCAAGTTTTTGAACACCTAAATACTGTCTAAAATGCATGAAATAACTTTGTTCAATCTTCCTAATTACAAAAGAGTGAGAAAAACTGTTACTATCTCGTTTTAGCCTATGTTTGGCCTCCATTTTTCCAAAAATTCATTTTTTCAAAACTCATTTTCTACCACATATTCTCCCATAAAATAATTTTACACGTAAACCCAAAACTTTTCTCATTTTCTAATCATACATTCTCCAACAAAACACTATTCATTCTGATAAAAAAGGGGCTCAAACAAGGGCTTAATATAAAATTGCATAGGATCTCAAAAGAGCTACTAAAGACAATATTAAAATAACATATGTCCAGATTAGTATTTCATGCGGAAATGTTTACATTCAACACAGAATTTCATGATACTTCTCATGATACGTGACTCAAATTTTTCATCAAGATATTTGCCCTTCACATTAGTTGCCAATTTATCACACGGCTTAAGTAAGATGACTCGTCTAAAATTAGTGCTTCTCAGCAAGTGCTCACCGGAGAATTTCTTGATACTAAATGGCTGAGAAAAGCAACAAGACAACATGAAAATCAGGAATGTCATCTAGTTACCGAGTCAAGAGCTGATTTAAAAAGATCTGAGGCCCTGCGCTTTTCTGGCTTGTCGGGAAATACCTAAAAAAATAATGTTTCTCAGATATTGCTCCTCAAAACCAAAACATATCCATATCCATGAGAAGCGAGAATCTTCTTACTATGCAAGCTCTGGTTTCCTGTTTCTCTTTTAGCTTTCTAACTACAGCCAAGGCAAGTTGAATGTTGGCATCACTAAAATCATCAGACGATCCCTTCACATTTTTAGATATTCAAAAATATCAAGCATCTGATTAAGAATTTTTGGTCAACAAGACAATGCAACATCAATCAAGAGATAGCAATGAAAAAAGTCCTAATGATTCTTTCCAACAAGATCTATATACAAAAAATTTCAAGAATTCTATAAATGAAAATCCACAATATAAATACGAGGAAGCCAATCTGTGGAAAGCCATTTCTTGGAAGACAAGTGCTTGAGAGCTAAGAGGATACCTTGTAAGAAGAAATATTGCTAGGCAGCGGACTGGTAATAGCAAATTGCAAACCAGCAGAGCGTCAATAAAATGAAAAAAGAAAGAAGGTGTCACAACAGAAATTGATGACTGACTCAAGACCCTGGAGAAAAACTTAAAAGAAAGGCAAAACATCTAAATTTGTTCTTTTATGAATAAATTCAGAATCCAGCAGAGAGTAAACGAAGTTTGGTAGTACAGGAAATTAAGCAAAAATATATTCAAAATATCAACCTATCAAAGAAAATAATGCATTGGAAAACGACATTTCATCCATAAGCTGACATGAATCTTGATGAAAAATGATGAATTCTAAAATTTTGGGGCTTCAAACAAGAAGCCTAATTATTTATTTCAAAATAGATGAAATATGAATCACCTCGCCAACTCCAAATTATTGATGTCTTCAAGTATGTCAGCTATTACTCTTCTTAGATCTTAATACCATCAATTCTTTCAACTTTTGACATTACACAACCCTAATGGCAATTATAGGCAAATTGTTCCACTGGAAACTTGTTCCTATCTACTGGATGATAAATTTTCATCTGTCAGTTCACAATTGAGACATACTTGTGTAGTATTAGAAAGCAAATTTTTTTTTATATCATATCACATGTCACAAAACTACATTTGGTTATTGTTAAATCTGGTTGACAGAAATGGAGAATTGTCACAGAGATTGGGGATAATTGAAAAATACCTATCGAGTTAAAAGCAAGTTCCATATGGTAAATGTTATTATACTAGCTATACTTTATACATTCAGTGTTGGGCACTTGAAGGAAAAAAGTATATACAAGATGAGTCTAACAAAAATGTTATGATGGATGTGCAGTAATATTAGAAAAGAAAGAAAAAAAGGTGAGTATATACACCAATAAGTGGATGTGGCACCTAACTGAATAAGGGAAGCACGACTTAGAGCATGTTTGGTTGGGTGGGTGATCTTTGCCCAACATACTCTACGGTGGTTGGGTCATATCTTTGCATAAATATGTTCTCCTTCACAAGAGTGATAAAATTCAGGTAGAACACAATAGAAAATGTAAAGGTAGACTAAAATTAACATTACCTTGATGCAAAAAAAAAAAAAAAAAAAAAAAAAAATTTTTTTTTTTGGAAAAAGAAGAACAAAAAAAAAAAATTTAAAAAAAAAAAAACCCTTAAAATCTCTGAAGAAGGTAGGCTTTCATATCAAGCAAAGGATGTTTTATGTTAATTTTTGAAAAAAAAAAAAAAAAAAAATGATTTTATTCAATCTTTTGGCAAAAGTAGCAGCAAAACAAACAATTTAACAAAAAAACAACGCTTGAAAAGATAGCTAATAAAATATACAAATACCTTTGGACTTGAAAAGAAGAGAATCAATAGTCCAAAACTAATCAATATGCTTCTCAATTCACTCTTTCTACTAATAAATTTTGTTCTCATCAGTAACAAGGAAACACACATTTTATTAGTCTAGTTACTTAAATGTGATACCTTGGAAAGCCATAAAGACCTTGCTAATTCATTAACTATGCACGATAGCAATAAAAAACTTGCAACTTTCAAATAAATTGATTTAAAATTCAGAAAAAATGGGAACCTGAATTTGCATCACATCACAAAGAACCAAAGAACTTTTAGACTCAATATAGTGATCATATTGAAACTTAATTTGCGACCCAAGCAGAATATAAATTACAAATAGGAAAAAAGTACTTAAAGCTTGGGACATGCCTTACTGTTACCCAATTAATCATTAAGAAACAGTATAACTACCATCACAATAAATTCAACCTAAAAAGTAATATTTCATAGCAATACAAATTGATAATAAATAATAAGCAAAGAAATACGCACGGGAAATCGATTTCGAGGCGGATTTTTCCGTCCTTGAGAGCATAGAAAAGAGAAGTGGCAGCATCTGAGACAAGAATTTCATATGATTTGGGCTTGTAAACCTCAACACCCATCTTGCGTTCAGCTTCAGGTTCGGTAGCTTTTGAACTATTAATTCTCGTGGAAATGCTCTTGAGATTGAATTGAGACGGAAATGAGCAGATTAATTTTCTTGGAATTACGGGAACCAAAGATGAGAAAAGGGAGTGCCGAGAATGTGGAGTTAGAGGAGAAAACACTGATGGGTTCTTCGTTAACATATAGAATGTGGCCGTCTGAGCGGCCATGACGATTCTTGGATCGCCACTCAGTGTGCGACTGCGTGTGCGTGTGTGTGTGTGTGTGAGAGAGAGAGAGATGGCGAGGAGGGAAAGATAACGGTATGAAGATTGGGTGGCTGACAAGGCAACCATGTCTTGCGAATCGACTTTATTTTTATTTTATTATTATTATTTAGTAATAAATTGTTTACAAGTCTTCGCAGGATTTTTAGACCTCCACTTATATGAAATATCTACATCGTTCATGAAGATTTGTAGTCATTACAAGAGAGTTTAACAAAAATAAGCAAAATTCACTGAATATGAAATAAGTTATTATAATTGTTTTTTGTCATGTAGGCTATAGGCAATAGAATTTTAATTATGGTTCTCTGAAATTAGGTAGGAGATCAGGACTAACTAAGTTATAAGTTCTAAATCTTCAATAACTAAGTAAAATTACATTTCGATAAGTGTAAAATGTTACACTTATTTGAGTTTTTAATCTCTCTAGTTTTTACTTTATTTAAGTACTTTTCAATATTTTACGGTGTTTTATGTGTTAGGAACATCCAAAAGTTCAGTTAACACAATTGCAATGAAAAATTGCAAAATAGAAGTGATAAGTGTATTTTACACACTTATTTTTATCACAAAATATGGATAATTTTTTATAAATATATTGAAATATAGCTTAATTCTATAAAAATTATATTGACAAACAAGTAAAACAGATCAAAATGGAAGAAAATCAAAATTCAGGGACCAAAGTACAAATAATCAAAAGATGACAGCATGAACAAAAATGTGAAAGAGTCAAGGACCAATTTAGTAAAGATGTGAAGTATTGGAAGAAGAATAAATGAGAAAAGAAGTCAAGAAACGAGAAAACAGAGTTCGAGGACTAAAACACAGCTTTTTGAATTTTGTTAACACTATGTGGTCGCATAGTATGTTTTTCCATGCGGTCGCATGATGATTTTCAACAAGTTTTAGGGTCAAGTTCCATTGAACTATGCTATAACATATTACAATTTTGGCAAAATTTTTTATGTGATTGAAATTCTTATTGAAACAAATTTTGGGATGTTTTTTAAATACCTTGGGCCATCCATAAGTAGGGGATAACATGTTAAAACACATTCATAGAGGTTTTGGAGCGTAGAAGGAGGTAAGGAAACACGAAGATTGATTCCAAAACCCAAAGATTTAATTTAAGATTTAATTGGATGATGTTGATTTCTCAGTATTTTTTTTATTTTCTTCTTTCTAACATGTTAGGCTAGATTTATTTGTATTAGGAGAACGATGAATCATGTGATATGAATTTTTAATCTTTAGTTTTACATATTTGACATCAAAAACACATTTTTGGATATTGAATAATCTATATGAATTTTTTTCTCTAAGATTATTGTGCACAGTAGTTTCGTGAATGTGATAACTGATTTTATGCATTCGAAAGAAGGAAAATAGGTTCGATATGGTATAAATCATCATAAAGTCTGATGGGAATATAGATATACTGCTATGCCTTATGTAAATCTTTAAGTATTCATAAAAATTCATATATTTTTATATGTTCGCATTCGTCGTAGAAATATAGTCAGGTCATATATAAAAGTATATTTAACATTATTCCAAAGACTGTTGAATATAATAGGAATATTGATTTTTCAATATTCAACTGTGTTGTCCAAGTGTAGAATTAAGTTAAAAATAATTAATGCATGAAAATTCGAGATCTTGGTGCATTTGTCATTTATTAGAACACATCAACTTTCATTTAACATACTTTAAATTTAGTTCAGTTAATGCATTCATAATTGCATACGTAACTTACTTTAGTTATAATTTTATCACAACAACCATGTTATAATATTCTTGTTTCGGTTCAGGTTACGATAATAAAAATTGAACTAAGTCAATCCCCGTGAGAACGATAGTTGGACTCAAAATTTACTTTATTACTTGTTAACGAATCGTACACTTGCGGTAGGTTTAAATTGAAAGATATTTTCTTGAACAAGAAAGTTGGACATCGGAACAAGTGACCAAATTGAAGAATTAAGATGAGATGCAGAGATTTTTACTAGCAAATAATATACCGCAGAAAAGCTTACACGTTCAGAGTTTATTGCACTTTACATATACCTAATTCAAGTTTTTAATGCATTTTATTCTGATCTGCCGATAAATTCTGCGATTTTGCGCTAAAATTACATAAAAGGGGTGCTCTCTGGATAATGACAAATGTATCAAGTTATCATATTTTATACATATCATCAAAGAAATGTTATTAAAAGATATTTTCCCTTAAGGTCTTTACCTATTTGGACATTCAGTTGTAGAGATATTATAAAAAGAAAATTTTCCCTTGACAGATTAGTTGCTTTTCAATTGGGTTTAGTTTCTCAAAAGTTATTGTATTTTTTGTGTAATATGTATTTAATTTCTACCTTTGATTCCAACCTTAATTTCTTTTCAACTTTCTTTGGTTTTCACTTAAAAATTAAAAGTGTCTTTTCCCCCCCCTCTCTCCATTGTGCAGATTATTACATTGGACTTCTGTCTCCTTGATGCCCATTTTCTTTCTTTGTGACTATATGTTGTCTTTATACATGGTGCAACTAGTTAGATGTCAATGAAATGCTACTTTTTGTGGAATTAAGTCAGAGTTTTGAAACAAGAATATCTTAAAATGCATTTGTTAACCTTTGAATTTATATTCTTGTTTGTTCTACGTGAGAATCTTGCCATTTTTTTTTATTGTTATTTGTTTTTCCTAACAGCAGCAATATCTGATAAATGTACCATCTACTGAGCCTACATAAGAGAGAAGTACACCTCCAGTGATTTTCTAGCACAAGAAAACTTAAAAGATGAAGCCACAAATAAGTCAGGAAAGACCTAATGTGTTAATTTTTGTAATTAGCACATCCATTTCGTTTTGTTTTCGTTCCTTTCAGATTGTCATTAGGTTAACTTATTTAACTATATCTTATAGTATTCAATGTGAAGCTGATAAAGAAAAAAAATCGTTCAAGAAATGAATGTAAGAGACATGAAAATGTTGAGATAAATGTATGAGGATATTTGCACGAATAACATGAGAAAAGGCATATACACAAACAAGAGCCTGGAAGTACGACGTCATGAGAATAAATTAAGGAAATAGCTACTTAGATGGTGTGAGAGTGTCTCTCAGTAACCTAAAGAACGTCCGATTCGTAAGAGCAATAGCATTCTTGTAGAATGCTGAAAGAAGGAACGTTGATCAAAATTAATACAATATGGATTGGTTTGAAAAAGTTTGATCATTGTATTATACAAAACAGACGTACAGAAAAATAGATCGACGAATTCTTTACAACACTTTATCAAACAAACCACCGCACAAGAAGATATCTACGATCAAAGGCACGGAGATATTGTACCCTTCTGTATCAACACAGAAAACCTAGATTCACCCAGGAACCAGTTGTCATGATCACAAGAAACGCGCAGCTTCTTCAATGGACCAGAAGAACTCAATGTTACCATCAAACACATACACTCTTTCACCATATTTCACAAAGAAAATCACTCTCTAAACAAATTAAAGAGTTACTCAGATCAAAAAAGAAAAGATGAGAAAACAGAACACTCTAGAAAACCCTTGAGAAGATGAAGACCAAATGACAAGAAGTTCATATAGAGATTGAGGCATCAGTTGATCCAACGGTCTAGAGTAACTTGCACTTTTAGTTATAAGGTAAAATAACCAAAGTCGCAAATACTTCTATCTGGACTAAGTATGGGCTCGGGTTTCACTGGGCTTCTTCAGTTAACGTTATTGGACAATAGTATAGTAACACGGGCCATGCCATTATTATCATTGCCTAATGTATTGGGTTGGATCTGGCATCACAGCCCTAACACATCAAACATTAAAAGAGGAAATTAAGTCCTATACCCTTTTTTTTCTAAGTGTTTTGATTAATACTCTTAAATTAATTAAACATTTTAAGAAAGTATTAATTACGTCCTAAATTTTAACCAAAACCCAACCCGATTAACTACAGCAAACCCAAACCTAACCCTCCATATTCCTCATTCGTAGAAGTCGCTGGCTTGCAAAATCCACCAGGCAATTTTCGCCGATCTCTTCTTCAAGCAAAATCCGACTTTAAATCTCCATTTTCGGCCTAATTTTTGTCGATTTCTCCTTCGTTTTCCCTTTGTATCCGTTCGTCTTCATTATTTCATTTTCATTTCGACCCCAAAATTGAAATCCCAAATTCTCTGTCAAGCCTATCCCCTAATCGATTTTGCCCACAATTGAAGGACCGTAAAGCTCGATTGTTTAAGCTATTCATATGGAGAGACCACAGGGAGGTAATGGTGAAACATTTCTTGTAGTTTCTTAGGTACTTAATTTGGCAGCTACATATATTTCATTACTATATTTTGTTTTTTGAGCACAAGTTTAAATTTGATGTGATATCAAATATCTCTGTAATATTTATGATTTTCAGCATTTGAAGATCCTAGGAAAATTGGCGTGAGCAATGGGCCAGCAGCTTCCGTCCCTATTGTTGATGGTAATGAAGGTAGACCATTGTCTGTCGCACAAGTTGTAATAGAGCAAATTGATATTAAAGGAATGGATGACGATTTGACACCCACGACTGCCAATGAACCTTCCAGATTAAGAGTGGATGCTAGGAAAGTTGCTTGGACATCAGCATATTGAAGTCTGTTGTATAAACTCTGCCTGAACCTTAAATTGTAGTTTAGATGCTAATCTTTAGGCTATTTTTGATTTCTGATGTGGACACTAGATTGAGGTTATAACTAAACTAGCTTATGGTGACCCTCGATGTCTGCTAGTTTGGTGATTTATTTAATGTCCAATAAATGTATATGAAGCTTGAGTTTGTGTTGTATATGTACACTATTTAGCTTTTGGGTTTTGCTGGTTTGAAATGATGGATGTCTTTGATGGATCCTCAGTTGCATAATCTTCATATTTACATGATGGCTAAGCTTCATTATTTGTTGACCCATACAATTGGTTTTGTTTCTGAAAATGCTTTAATTGATTGCTTTTAATTTCATTTATACCAACACCACTGTTTTGAAATTGTGTGTTATATTGAATGTATTTTCATTTGAATTTTGTTATTT